ATATACTGTGAAAAAAATCAGGCTTAGATATTATTCTCAAACTGAAACAAAAGCATGCAAACTCAAGGTGACTACCATTTCTTGAGTATCTGTCACAGGCCAGGCTAAGTGATTGCACACCTTATCAGTAGCCAAGTAGCCTTACAGATGGGACAAACGAAAACTCTGGACCATATTCATATACAACAATCTTAAAGTTACTAATTGATCACCAATAAGTCTTAGTTGTAAAACCTCTAAAAATTTGCAAATAGGGCAAAACATTTTTAGTTAATTAAATGTAACATATAAAGACTAATATCACCAACTAAGTAAGCCCCATTGTACTTGAGTTTGGAAAATGGTGACAAAAATTTATTATTTGATCCTGGCATTTCAAAAATTAGTCACAATATCACCTCTCATTTTTAAAAAGGAAAGATTTGAGGGAGAAAAGTTTCAAAAAACATCTAAATTTCATGTGAAGCAAACGTATGTGCACATTCTAATAATAGTGACTTATAAGCTACATGTTCTGAAGCCTTGAAAAAATTTAATCTACAAATGCCCAGCACATTTTTTTCTAATAAGCAGACTAACTAAAAATCATTCTTTCAAACCTCAGAGATTTTTAGGTGTTTTAGTGACATGTAATTCAGGTTCAAAGGTTTTATGATTTGAAATTAACAATTTGGTCATTGAGTGATGAAATGTTCTAAAATTGATTGTGATGATGCTTGCAAAATACTGTGAATGTACTAAAAATGATTTAATTGAATACATCAAATGAGTGAATTGTATGATATAAAAATTAGATCTTGCTGGGTGTGGTGGGTCTCGCCTGTAATCCCAGCTACTTGGGAGGTGGAAGCAAGAGAGTAACTTAAGGCCAGTTCAAGACTGCCCTGGGCAACATAGTGAGACCCCCATCCCTAAAAAAAAAAAAAAAAAGAAGAAGAATTGTATCTCAATAAATCTGTTTAAAATAAATACACAAGTCATGAAAAATATATGTGCTATATTTTTAAACTTATAAGTAAACTTCTAATTTTCCTTGAATATGTGGTGTTTCACAAAGTTAAATAGGAAAGAAATTTTGCTTTCCTGGCATTGCCCAATATTTGCATTCCTGGTTTTGTTTTATGCAATCATGTGTCTTCTCTTTGAAAAAAATAATAACTACTCTCAATAACAGCCTAAAATTTTCAGGACACCAATCAGTCAGTAATCTTATTTCACCAAGAACGGAGATTGCTCAATCAGGGCAATTTAAGAAAATTACACATTTTCCACTAGATGGCACTGGTGTGCAAATAGTATTGCTCAGAATCTTTGCACTTGCTCTCATCAATAAAATTATCTCTACTAAAAATACAAAAAATCAGCTGGGCCTGGTGGCCCGTGCCTGTAATCCCAGCTACTCAGGAGGCTGAGGCAGGAGAATTGCCTGAACCCAGGAGGCGGAGGTTGCGGTGAGCCGAGATCGC